ACCCACACTGCAGTGCACCACGATCCACATACCATGCCTTTTTGCTGTGCATGGATAGCCCTATCTAAATGAAGGTCAAATTGTGAGAAAATTGGGTTGGGAGGTATCTATTGCTTTCCTTTTATAATAGAGCCAACTTGATTTGTAGGTAGCTTAGTAGCTTATGGGTAGGCAGCTCAAAGACTCAGTCTCTAAAGGAAGCACTAGGAGCAACTCAAGAACAGAAAACAGAAGAGCTCCAGACCAAAACGTTGGAGGCCCTAAAAAAGTGTAATAATTGTGTTGATCAAGCAGCCGACGCGTTTCAGATGCAAACACAATCTCCTTCCGGGCAAATCAGTCTGTTAAAGAGAATGATAAATGCGGAGTGAAGATCACGGTAATGACTGTTTAATGGAGGCAGATGACATTGATCACTCCATTCTACAGTGTCTCCTGTAGACAGGATTGCTAATTTCCTCCAGCGTTTTCTAGAATTGTTACATTGCATCCCTTCTTGTTTTAGTTCCTATGATCCTCAGCTCCATCTAGTGGACATAATATGATTCACTACTGCCCATAATATTTAAAGATCAGTTGATCAGAAGAGAAAGTAGCTTGAAAAACAATAGATTTTTGCCCCATTCTTACAACAACTGGTTAATGCCCACAAAATGATTGTACATCCTGTTTATGCCGGATGAATAGCTTTGTGATTATTTTGTTTCCCCCCATGAATAGACCCCTTGGTGTCCAATCCAGATTGTGCAGGACTGTAGAATATACTATATAGATAGATGTGAGTATGACTGGCTGGTCAATACAGGGTCAATACTGATCAGTTATTTATAGAAAGCAGAGTTTTGTCCGGAACAGGGCAAGTCACATGCAGCATCAGAGTTCTCGGCTAGGATTAGTTGGTGTAACATGAAGGTAAACATAAAACCCTTTGCATACAATACACTGACAACATAAATGCTTTGGTATGGAGTAAGAACATTTATTATTTAGTGTTGTGTTACAATAAATGAAAGTTTATTTGCTTTCCATTACCATGGTTTTGATTGAGGTATTGAAAAGCACCTATTTTATTGTGATACTATACGATCAGTGTTCTGGAACACTAAGAAAAAAATGATAAATCCCGTTTTTCCTCTTCCATACATACTGCAGTTGCCAAGTAGTCAGCAAATATATCTTGACAGATTTGGCACCTCGTATTAGAAATTCTGACACCATAACAGAATGTTACAATGAGTCAGAGGCTCGTGTTACCGCTCTGTACCCGAATACTGTGGATAATTATTCAAACTGGTAACCATCACACCCAATTTACATTTATGGAATGGAACTGGACATAAACCGACTCTGTGGTAACATGTTATTGTAGCTACTTACTACAGCTACACACCCAAAATCAATTTATTAGGGACATGCTTTCTTTAAATGAATTGATGCGTGATGATGCCAATGCATGAAAACAGATGCATGCTAGTACTTCAGACAGGACAGCCCATAGATTTTGTCTTTTGTGGCTCTTCACTAAATAAGATCTGTATTTTTATAATGTATGGTATATAATTATGCCATTGCATGATACTCTCTTCAATGTCATGCTGACATTCTCACCCCATTTACAGCATATTTAAAGGGAGAGTACAATGAGGGAAAGTTTTCAAAACTGAGTAGAGAGAATCGGCAACCAATCAGCTTCTAATCTTTTCTTTTTAAATCTTAACTGGGCAAACTGAAGAAAGAAGCTGATTGGTTACTATGGACAACTTCTCCAGATTGTGTCTGCTCCAGTTTTGATAAATTCCCCAGAATGTATTATCATTGCGCATGTATGTAAAGGTTACAACTGCAGTGTTGTCCAAAGGCTGGGTACTCACAGGCAGCTGATCCACATTTTTACTGGCTCTGACTGCCTACCTACAAAAAATAACCTGGCGGCTCCTGAGGACCGCGCATGTTGCGGTGCACCAAATTTAACCTGGCATGTCATGTTTTGCCAGGCAGTTATGCTTGCCAAACGTGCACATTGAAGTCAATGCGACCCCCGTCGTAACCATGTGACAACCACTTGGAACATAGTTGTTGTGCAATATAGCAATGCAAAATCTCCCCCTAGGATCGGGAAAAAAAACAGATATTTAAGTGGCAGTATCATCTCCATCATGGGTCACTTATCAGAGGGGTGGCAAACTCTTTTGTAAGTATGAACAAGACCTCAATGTAATTTTTAGATGTGATGTTTATAATTTACATGCCAATACTTTCATTTGTTTCTTTTTTTTCTTCTAAATAAATGTAGAGATTTGTGAATTAGCCACTAGACAGTTCTGTATTTCACTGCAATCACTCAGTCCCCCTGCTTAACAACTGTTGACATAATGAAATGAGGATAATGTACTAAAGGAGTAGAGAATCTTAGCACAAATTGTGTAAATAGTCACTTCAATTATACAGTCATGTGAAAAGCAAATTCCTATTTATTTCAACTGCACATGATTAGATAATTAAAGTGAACCCCTTTAGTAAATCAGTCCAATTATGAGTCCCATTGGGGAGGAGTACATTCTTTTTAATGGGTCAGCAGGCCCATAGACTTGCATTGAGAGAAGGAGCAGTAAAGCAAAACCACTGTATGGTACTTGAAAGCAAAAAGCAGAACCTGAGAACGTGTTGAGCAAATCTGACTGCCCTCATGTACCTATATATTTACAAAAGATACATAGAAAACATTACTGTGTTATTTGCATTCAACTGATCACATTTAACTTGGCCTATAACAAAGCCAATACATTCTCTTTAGAGCCCATTTAGAACTATGCATGTGCGAAGGTGCGTTTTCTTTTGTAGCCTTTGGCATGTGTGTTGTCATGCATTTCCTTTCTGCATTTTCACACTTTTATTTTTAATGGGGTTTAGAATTTAGAATTTGGAGTGAATAGGGTTAACAGCCATTCACCAAGTCTCATTATTCATTGTTGCCAATGCAACTTGTATGCATTTTCATGTGCTGCCATTGGCTTCTTTGGGGCCCCTATCAGAGACTAAAAGACAAAAAAATTGACATGTCATGTTTTTCAAAATGCACTGCAGCACTGAGATGGGTACAGACACTATATTTTTTGTATGGGGAAGTTGGACATGTGCTTCAGCGCATTGCAACATGTGTGTTAAACTGCAACAGTGAGAATAAGCCCTCAAAGTTTCTTAAAGCGGACCTTCACCTGCAGAATAACTTTTGCTCCCCTTTAAACCCTCTCCCCCTCTATAATATGGAAATCTCATCTTTTTTTAATTTACGTTCCAGTCACCCATTCTTGCGTAGGCAAGAACGACATGCTGCAGATTGGTGCCCCATAGGATATGCACATCACATCCCAGGAGGCATCAGCTTCCATACAGCAGACATTGGAGGAGGGAAGGCCTGGGGGTACGTCATCAGAGGTCGACTGGCTGACCCTGAAACAGACAAGTGTCTCCCGATGTTAAGGAAGAAGATGGCGGGGTGGGACCTGTGAAACGTGGATCACAGCAGGAAAATGCTGGATGAGTATGTGGACTGAGGAT